TATAGCAAATAAATATATAATAATTTATATAACAAATTATTAAGAATAATAAATATTATCTTATTGATATAGAATTATAATAATTATATTATTATTTTAATTATCTATTAATATATAGGCTTTTATGAGTATTACAATAAGCTAATTATAATAATATTTCAAAAACTGAGATTAATAAATTTAATAAGTTTTATTAATATTATCAAAAGTATAGAAAATCACCAAATCGATTTAAATTTAATTTATAAAATAATATTGATTTTAATTATTCAATTATAGTTAATATAATATATATTGATATTTACTTTATTTTATATATTATTAATAAAGAAATATAATTCCAAATTATTTAATAATTAAATAATATTATTACAAAATATATTTTTGATATATTTTGAAAATATTAGATAAACATTTATATTAATCCATTAGATTTTATTATATATAATATTAGAAAGAATTTTGTAAATAAGGAATTTATTTAATATATTATAATTATATTAACAAGAATAAAGAATATACTAATTGAGATATATTAATCAATTAGCATAATTGAATATTATCATACAATTATCAAGAGATTATATACTATCATCTCCAACAAGCTTAATAGCTTTATTATAAAAAAGATAATATTATAAATAATTATAAAAGTAATAAATGATATTATAAAACTAAACAGATTAATTTCAACATTTCTAGTTTTTAAAATATATTCATAGATATTTGAATCTAATCTATCTATATTTACAGTTCTATAAAAACAATCAATAATTAGAAAAATAATGAATAAAATTTATAAGCTACAAATAATATAATAAATATTTAATATTTTAAATCAGCAAAATAGATTATCTATAATAGCTTTATATAACTTATCTATTAATTTAAAGGTTTGGATATAAAGAAAATATAAAGAATAAATAGAATTGTATTATTTATTAAGTATAAAAGATAAGATATATATAATATAATTATTAAATAAATTAACAGAATTCTATATTACTCAGATTAAATCTCATATAAAGGATATACAGAATTAGCCTTAAAATCAATTCTAATCATCTATCGAATTATTATAAATATTACTTATATAAACTGAATTGATATAATAAAAGCAATTTGTTATATTTAATATAAGTATAATAACTTTATCAAAATTTGATAAAATTATATTTACTCTTTTATCAGCTATTATTAGGAATAGGAATTTAAAGGAGATTCTTTTAAATATATCCAGGAATTCCTAATCTCAATAATAATAGATTCCTTAAATAATAATTCCAATATAATCAATACTTTTTACAAAAGGAGAAAATATCAAATTTATAGAATACCTATTAAATTTATTGATTTTTTTATTAAAGGAAAACGAATTTAACGATATACAATACATTAAATACTATATAGTATTTATTAATACCCTATTATCAATAATTTTTATAAAATTAAGATAAAAAAAATTAATAAACTTATAAAAAACAATGTTTTTTAATTTATAAAGATTACAGATATTCCTATAAATATAAGGATTTTTAACTTTTATTTTATCAATAAGATTAAGAATAAAGAAATTAATAAAACATTTCCCAAGTTTTAATTAGTTATACAAATATAAAAAGATTAAAGAAAAAATATTGTTTTAATATAATCGCTTATAATACAATATATTAGCTAGTATATTATATTAATAATAATAATTATACTATCTAAAAATAAGATAACCATAAATATTTATAATATTATACAAATATATATATAATCAATATTAAATTTAATTCAAAAGTTTTATATTCAATTATTATTAAAAATGAATATTCCAAAAAGCTTTATCTTGTAAGTTGTATAATTATTATATAATATCTCAAAAGCAGGAAATTACTAGTTTAATATTTATTATAAGTATTATACCAATATTCTTAAGATAATATAATTAATTTACAATTTATATTTATTATATATAATTAAAAACAATATAATATTTGGTATTATCAGATTATAAACAAATAATATATTTATTATAGCTAATAAAGTATTCATAGATTGTAAGCAAATTAAACTCAAAAATACTAAATTTATAGCAAAAAGTATAAAACACTTATATTAAATATATTATTCAAATTTAATAATAGTTTAATTACTCAACGGGATAATAGTATAATCTATTTTAACTAAAAGAAATAATGTAAAAACCTTTATCTAATCAAATCAGAACTATTTGATATACAAAATATATACAATAAGCTTAGAAAATCAATAACAGCAAAAAATCAATATATTATACAATATACTCGAGAAACATATATAGCAATTATATATCAACCAGAAATAATTTTCGATTTATTATATATTATACAAATAATCAATTTAAAAAAGAAAAATATTAATATTTTCAATAAACGTATTTAATAGTAAATTGATAATTCAAAAAGAGAATTATAATTTATTCCACTTGATATAGATTCTTTTAAATTAGTCATATTCACAAATACATCCTTTACTAATAATAAAGATTTATCCTCCCAGATTAGATATATTATTATTCTAATAAACAAATTTAATAAAACTAATATTATTTATTAATCATTAATTAAATATAAAAAAATTACTAGAAGTATACTAACATTAGAACTCTATAATATAATTTTGGGTTTTAATATTAATATAGTAATTAAAAATATTTTTAATAAAATCTTCCCAAATCACAAAATACTATTAATTATATATATCAATTCAAGATTATTATACAACTATTTTATAAAACTTGATACAATTACCAAAAAAAGATTAATAATCAATATAATAGTAATTCGAAAGGTATACAAGAAATAAGAAATTATTAAAATTAAATGAATTAATAAAGAATCTAACTTTATAGATATAATAATTAAATCTAAGCCATATCAAGCCTTAAAAGATTTGATTGATAATAATATTATAAAGATTAAGATTACAGAATAAGTTGAAAAAGATTAATAATATAAATGATTATATTAAAAAAGAAATATTAATTAGAAAAAACATAATATAATAACTTTAAAGAGTTACCAATATTAGGATAGGGATTATATGACTAACCACATTAGTATATACACTAACACCCCCACATTATAGTATATACGTTTATAACCTTTAGCTTTTAAAACTTTAAGCAATATTATAACAGTGTGAATCATTAGTATTATATTATTTTACTATCCCCATGGTGATATCAACACATCTCATCCCTCAAATTTCATTTCTTCATGAACTTCCCTACACAGAAAGAGTCCTGATAATAGATGAATAATTCACAGATAGATATAGATATAGATATCCACACGACATAGCATGAAGAGGCCGGGTGGTATCTAGGTATGTATAGTAGAGAAACGAATACATAGAATAGAATGAGATTTTGAAAAATATGGGTTGGTTTTAAGAGCAGAGTGATAATTGTATTCTGATACTGTAATGTTGGATATATGGTATAGTCTTCTTAAGAAGGAAGAAAGAGACTCAATAAGCGCCACTGCCGCGATGTAAATACAAGACTGATCAACCACCTAATTACCCAATGAAGACGCCAAAAAAATAAGCTATAAACTAGTATAAAATCAACTGCTAGCGCATATTAAAATCCAAACGAAGACGAGGTAATTGCATGATGTATACGATAGAAACACACATATTTATTACCCATAGATAAATTCACCATCCCCCAAAACCCAGGTATCGTATTCTAATTCCCCATCACCAATTTCCCATCCCGACATCACTTGGAAAAAACCTAAATAGATCACCCATCTCTCTTAAAGTTTCACGTTCCCACTCAACATGCAATCCCCATAACGGACATTAAAAATCCCATCCAGATCACCGATGCTACGCTACCTACCAACCACTGACTCGCTCGCCCCCCCTCCTCCGAAGGTCTTCCGGACAAAACATCCTGATTCAGGAACTCCCACCGATTCGGTCGAACTCTCCTCGTCTCGCCTCCTTCTCCCTCTCCCTCTCCCCTTCTCTCTCTCTTCCCTTCTCTCTCCCTCTCTCGCTCCTTCGACCTCGGCACTTCTCACTTCTCCCTCCTCCCTCCCTCCCCCATCTGAAACATCCAGAACTTCTAGTCTCCGAATCCTCGCCCATCCCATCGCCAAAATGTACACTCCTCCGAAGCTAGCTATACGCACATGACACGCAGATACCTACCACAAGAAGATAAAATACATACATACATATTACATACCTAGCTAGTATTTGCAGATAAAAACTCGCATAGCCCTTTTTTTTTTCCTTTTCTCGCAGCGGAGTTTTCGTAATTTCCGATGTACGAACATCAAGTTATCTCTATAATTTCATATAATTTCCATCTTCTTCCAAAAGAAAGAAACTAATTATACTCTCCTCCCTCTAGTATCCACCAATGATCTCCAATCTAGCACTATTCCTTAATTTAGACTTTAGAACTTCCTAAACCTCGGGGCGTCGCCGATCTCAAACCCGTCGGCAAATACCCACAATCAATCACATCATATACACTAGTAGACGTCATTTTTTCAAAAGAATTCTCGTAATCTCTACTTGAGATTTTAGATACCAGTACCTATGCACACGTATTTCCCATTTTGTTAACAACACTTAATTAATCTACTTGGATTTTACAAAAGTAAATAAGATTAATAATCCCAACTGGACAAATGAATGTAATGGATTAACATTAGGTATAGAATGGAGATTGAAGATAATAGGGAACTTGGTGTTCCATGATTAAGACACGGGTAAATTGTACAATTCCTCAAAAATCTCAGACTCTCGGATATCAAAAAATTCCACTCCTACCCAATCCCATAAACATGTTCGTTGAATCAAATCCCATTTATTCCCAATATGCATTTGAGTATCACTTTCCATATGAAACCAAAACACCATCCATCCATCCGACCATCCATTCCACCAAATCCGACTCACTCCGATTCCCAAACCCGAATAACCAACATATATATCTCCATGCTACCAAATCAAAAACTCAAAAGCCTTTTCATATGAGCACCCTTCTCACAATCACTAGGCAAAGGAGGAAATTTTCCATTCCTCAGCTCAAAAACGTCTAGGATACTTTTAACCGCAGTATAATAAGTTTCCGCTGTTCTCTCAAACCCAAGCCTATTCCATTCATCCGCATCTACCGCTGATTTGATATCATCCCAAACAAATTTCCAATTTTTTATCGCAAGTTTGAAAGGTGCAACGATTGAAGGAATGGACGTTGAGGGTAAGTGAACCAAAGGATTACAGAATGTTGAGGTCCATATATGAACGTAGAGAACTATAGAGTCAGCCTTGTTTGTACATGGTTCAATGTAAATGGATAGTCTTACTGTGAATGAGCATCTGCATATCCAAAGCAGTTAGATTGCGGTTGCACAATGGTATCAGGTCTTCTTTGGCGGTTTCCATAGGAGAAAACAATAATAGGAAAGCATCCTTTATCTTTATTTTTGAAATGGGAAAACCTGCATGATCCTTGAGATCTTCAAATTTTGCAGCTTTGAAATACCCCTCATTGCTAGGAAATGACAGATCTATCTCTGTCCATTGAAGTCTTGGAGTAAGATTGTTGAATATTGCAAATGCGTTGTCGAGCATCATCATCACAGTTGCCGTTCTGATATAAGATTCTTTACGAATCCAATCCCTGAACGAAGATTGATCTTTGATAACAAACCCAGGAGAATGTTGTACGATATTCAATTCTAGATAGCGGTATATCTGCCCAATATTAGCTCGGCTCCATGAAAACCTGTGATTTGTGTTACTCACTGATACTAATTTTGCGAAGCGTTGTTGCCTCACCCGTGTCCTTGCTATCTCATTGCCAATCCAGTATTGCACAACCACAATGAGATATGCGCCTTGAAATTCCTCTAATTGGTATTGTAACCATTCTTGAGACAAGTTTTTCGTACGCTCAGCATAAGTTCTACCGGGTAAGTCGAATTCGTCATTGAATCCATTTATTGAATAGATGTAGGTTTCCATGATGTCCAAAAGGAGCTTTCCCTTCGCTACCTCATCGGCCTGTTTGCAATACTAAAGTTTCATTAGCCATTTAACTTTAATATTTATGGAACGTGAAGCACGCTTACCATTGCACCAAGACTCATGACCGAAAGTACTAGGGGCAATGCAGCTGTACATGGATTGAAAGTAGCTTCGTGAACCATAGGTGCATGATGATGCCAATGCTTAAAATATAATTTGATATACGCAGCAATAGTATCGGCAGTCATGATCTCAATTGCTTCCAAAACTTCTTTGGAGATAGCATTGGGTCCAACCATTGAGCTTGCAGCATACCTCAACTTTTCCCGTATATCGTAGGCACGTTGTTCTAGAACATTTCGATCGTTAAACATTCCATCCGGTGACCAAGGAATTAAATTGTCTTGAGGAAACTGCCATCCATGCGTTTGTCTTTCGAATGTGTCGAATTCCAAATTGTGAAGAAAGGCCAGGTTTTGGTCCACATCCATACTCGAAGTGTATCCAAAATTTGCCATATTCTGATTCATCATGTCTCCTGTGGCCCATGGCTGGATTGTATTATGAGGAACCAAGCTTGTATATTCCGCAGTTCTTTCCTTTGGACTACTCCCTGTGGAAGCTTTTGGGAATTCGCGCATAAAGTCTGCCTCATTTGGAAAATTCAATAGAAAGCCAATGGAATTTCGATCTGACGTAGGTTCCGGAGTGGTAGATGGGGGTGTTAGAGATCGAGGAGCTGGCGTTTCCGGGCTTGCAGAAGTTTTTATCGATGAAGCGGAATCTTGAACATATTGTTAACGATATCGCAAACTTTCTTTCAGTGAACATTGACAACATACTGGAACCCCAAGTTTTGATACAACGCCTTCCAAATTCCTTGCATTTGCGACATGGTACTTCATTGTCACATTTGACCTTCAGCCTCGAGCATTCATTGCAAGCGTGTCGTTTCCGCCCTCGTTCTAGGGAATCTGGGATAGCGGCTGATCCGCGAAGTTCGCATCTGCTGAAATGGTCTCGGAGAACATCGCTATGATATATTGTCAGTACTGAGTTTTGAAGAGTATACAAAGATACAAGCTTGTGCATCTCTCGGGTACTTACCTGCGTTTGAAAGTTTTGGTACAGAATATGCAGCTGAATGGTCGAACACCGGAATCTAGATTTCGCACACGTCAGGAAACTCTCCACATTCGATGACAGCATAAGATCGTCGCTTGAGTATCTTGGGTTTTGGAATGGGGAGAATACATACGTTGCTGTTGATGTCGAAGTAAATGTGCCTTGCGTTGGAATTTCTTACCACACTGGTTGCATTCAAATAGACTTTGAGTCTGGCTTTGAGCCTCCATTTTGACGGAACCATTGTGGTGGGAACGTGGAACTTCGGATGTTAAAGATATGATTCTATGGTTCTTGCGCAAGAGAATTTGTGGGGAAACAACGTTCACTGAATGGGGTTTCGCTCCTGCCGAAGCAGGGCTAAGAATAAGAAGTAAGAATGCTAAAGAGTAGGTTAGACATAATTACTAGATGCAGTGTTAGTACGATGTACGATAGAGTAGACCCAAAAGTGTCGGAATGGAGAAACAATGGTAAGATTAGATATAGATGATATGTACTCCATACATACTCGGTAATAATGGATCAAGAGGCTAGCTTACAAGGTTAGTCTGATACGAGGGGTTATTTCAAATCACTAGGACAATTTAGATGGCCGAAGACTGCGTACGGAGGAAATCCTTTCAAGATTTGACAATCTAACCACCTTGGGTAGTAAAGATAAACATCTTTTTCCCCTGACGCGTAGACCCTAGATCCTTAATTATTCGGAACGCCTCTGAACTACCAATAACCGCCGTTGTTGTGCGCTATACCGCTACTGCCACAATACCACCGCGATATACCCAGATATTGAGCTGGGGAACGCTTACTACGTACGAACCTATTTGCTAATAAGGTTTGGGATTATGGGTAAGGTTAAAGCTAATTGGGGTCAAGGTGTATGCTATGTACATTAAGTACCAAATGATGGAAAATCGTATAGGTATCGTATCGTACAGAGCAAAATCATTTACGTAGATAGCAAAAAGAAAATGTCGAATTCCAAGACTTCATCACGAATCACGAATCATAATTAAGCGGAGATGAAGGGGTATTTGTTTTTAGGTAACAATCAATTGGCCCCAGGCTCCTGGCAAACCAGCAAACCAGGACACCAGGCATCAAATCAAAGATCGAAATATAAACAATGAATTAACTCCATGTTATTTCCTAAAGCCTCGACCCACGCGCTTATTTCAAACAGGATATACTCCGTTCAAAAACTTGGTCATTGGTCACTGATCTCATCGCGAAATTTCCATTTCCATTTCCAGCCCGGCCTAGATATCATCATGATCATACCATATTTCTTTTAACTTCATATTCATTGGATACAGCGCGTTAAACTAGATCTCGAATATCCACTCTCTGAATCCTACAGCTTTTCTAATCTCACAGAATAGTTCTACCTAAGTATTCCTTGAACTATCCAACTCTGAACTTTTTACTTTCCAACCTCCTCCCAAGCAATTTGTGACGAAAGATGGACATACAAAATGTAGGTACCCTGTGACATTACGGATAACGGCCACCATTACCGGCAGGTATATTATCATCAATAACTATTGCGGTCAAGTGAGCGCTTCCAAGGCGAGTTGGAACATCGCGTACGACCAACTCCGCGCATCGGCTCGTGCTGCGGTCGGGGAAATTCACATGGAAGAAAGGGAAGACTTGATACGGGAAGCCCGTCAAACTCATTATCATCCATGAAAGTTGTGGAGTAGGTACTAGGTACCCTTTGACACATTGCATTCGGGGTACCTTCGGATTCTTGGTGTAACATATTATGTGTAAGTACACAAGGAATATCCAGCTTGGCAGTTCCTCGGATTCGTAAAGACTCCCATGAAAATTTCGCCCTCGCCTCTAACTACGCGAAAGCATATTTTCTAGATAGGCAACAAAGTAATTTCAGCAAGTTTGAAATATGGAATTTTGATGGATCCATCGCAGCGCTTAAGATCAGGCATTGGGCATTGGGAAATGGATTTGATGAAAACTAGGAAGTCTTAACAATTGGGCATAGAAAACAAGGACGCCTTAGGTAGTGGAGACTTGCAAACCGCCTGCTGTCCCGACTTCTCCTACAGGAATGGTATATGCATAAGGTTATTATGAGAAAGCAAGTACTCCTACGAGTAAGCAGACTGCAGTAAAAATCTGCTAATCGCCTCCTCCCCCACTCACCCTATAGGAGAAGTGTTGTATATGGACAAAAAATAAGGAAGCCTGACACAGTTCACAACCATCGTGTCCACAATTACCGCACATTTGTCAGTTTTAGCGATAACAATAAGTATGATTCCGATTGAGCATTTCCAAAGAATTCTCTGCTAGGCAGAACCGTTTACCCCATGGAAAACTATCTCCGAGGTGGGAATGATGGGGGTGGGGCAAAGTATTTGAGAATGGGAGATGGAAGATAGAGTTTTGTCGATTTTGATAGCAAAGTTGAGCACTGCTTAGTATGGTACTTCATACGGATTTTTTCAACCCGAAACGTTTTTGAATCTGAAATTCACTTTCTGATTCTTTAATATTATATACTTTTTTATATCTAATATTTTAATATAATATATTCTTTTTTAAAATAGAATTTATATAATTTCTTTATTATATTTTTGATATTATATTATTTAATATAATATTTATTAATATAAGAAAATTTTAAAACTTATAGAGATAATAAACTATTTTCTATCTTTAATTCGTTTTAATAGATGATATAAATAAAGGAATTCTATATTTGAATATTATTAAATAAGAATAATTAGAAGATAAATTGAAATTCAAAAGATTCAAAAGATTCAAATCATTCAAATCATTCAAATCATTCAAATCATTCAAATTATTCAAATCATTCAAATTATTTAAATCATTCGAATTATTCAAATTATTTAAAACATTTAAAACATTTAACTATAAATATAAAATTCAAAAACTATTTTGATTTATAAAATCTATATAAAATATTATAGATTATTTATTATTTATTATTTTTTGAATAATTCCATTTATTTTTATAATAGAGTTTATAAAAACTATTTAATATAAAAATGAAATTAAATAACATTAAGAATAGATTATACGAGAGAATTAGAAAGTGAATTTCAGATTCAAAAAGGTTTCGAGTTGAAAACTCCGCATGAAGTACTATAGCTCAGATATTCAAAAACATAAATCACGGAAAAGAGAAGCTATTTGTAATATCTTTTCTAATAAACGTTTTACAAAACCATGCTGTTATAAAAAGAAAAGGAAAACCATACAACCATATGCTCATTCAACCTCTCCATCCCATAGTTGAATCATCAATCCTTGAAGCCGAGATGCTCCAAGGACTCTATGATATCGTCGACGAGAATGTCCATATGTCGCTCACGATTACTACTTGCAACTGCAAGATTCCTCGCATTCTCCATCCAGGCGGCTTTTGCTGAGTCCACATCAGGAGCAGCGTAGAACTTTTCCCAAATAGCCTGACGTTATATGATATCTACCTGATTGCCGCATAAATCTCTCATTGACTCATCGAATGCCTTGCTACTTTCGCGAGCTTTTCAGTACTTTTTTAATTGCAGAAAGTATCTCCGTTTCCTTGGGAATCTCTTTTGAAACCATAATTCCCCATTGGGCATCATGACTCTGGTCACCGTCTCCAGGGCAGTTTCCGCGATTCCCGACTTGTCTTGGCCTTCGTGAATCTTCTTTAGCTGGTTAGCTGCCTCTGCCGAAATAACGAAGCAATTTGTACTCGATAAACATATCTGCTCCCATAATTTGCCTCTTCAATACGAGCAAATCACCAGTACTAATTTTCTCAAATCCGGACCAAAGTTCAACCATTTCCTTGTTTATGATCTCTGCATCGTCCTCACCGAAATTTTCGTTCTCGTTGTCAAAAAATGCAAGCAGAGCTGTGTTTGATGGAGCGGGCATGTGCTTGAGATCTTCGTCTGCTTCTTCCATGAGAGCCAATACTTTCTGGAGGTGCCATGTTTCGGACGTTCTCAGATATGAGGATACGTGGAATCCAATACCGTTTTTGAGAGATAGAACGGGCTCCAGTACTGTCTTAGTAGTGTCTCGAGATTTTCCAAAACGGGCTTATTTTTTCGACAGCACTGCCGGTGGTGCATTACGGAACGCTTCTTTAGCAGCCAGCTTGTTCCATTCTGATGCTCTCTTGTCCCTAGTCGTTGAACTATTTCGATCCCTAGCTAAGTAGAAAACCTTTGATTGTAAAACGATGGTTGGGAGAAAGAGACCATTCGGCGCTGGCTTCTCCACGATGAGAGCGTATAAGTTTGTTCTGCCAGTTCCGCCTTTCCCATCCTCTGATAACTCTGGTGTCACTACCAGATATGGAGCAATTGAGCCATGCAGGTCAACCTTGTTGCCGTCTTCGGTCTTGGTCCCAACGACACCTCCTTTGTTTACCGTTGGACATTTCTTTTCGATAGCGGCCGGCAGTTGTTTATTTTGAAATCTTGGGGAAGAAAGATGTATCTTAAATATTGTGTAAATTGAACCTCAGGTTGAAGTATACCAGACATCAAGGTTGTTTATTTCAAAGGTGAAGAGAGCAGGTGAATCAAATATTTCTTTCAACGGCACGTGAACTGAAAGGGAAGGAGGAGGTGTGTCTACGAAAGCGGAGAAGATCAAAAACAGACTCATCTTTGGCAGAGCATGACCCACAGTAATTCACTGAATATGCTTAAAGCTGACTTTATTAAATAAAACAATCGTATCAAATAAAACAATCGTATCAATTGGGATAATCATAACAATTGGGAGAATTATATCAAGTAGAACAATCATGTCAAACAAAATAACTATATCAAGTGGGATAATTATATCAAATAGAATAACCATATCAATTGGGATAATCATGTCAAGTAGAATAATCATATCAAGTGAAATAATCAAATCAACTGAAACAATCATCGGGCTTTGAAAAAGGGTGGAGAGGGGGGAAGGGGAGGGTTATAAGGTGTTTTCCCTTTTATATCTACACTTCAACTCCCACTCCCTTCTCTGATATAATGGTTTTGAAGCAGCACGAGCACCAGCTTGCACACAATGTGAAGTATATACTATGTCTTAACCGATTCGACTAACCGAGTACATAGCATCGAGTTGAAAATTCATGGTTTTCATAGTTGATTTGATTGTAATCAAGACTATGTGAGAGCTTTAAGCTCTTCAATATATACCAGAGATCGTCCCCATTTAAATGATAACTATCTGCTCGAATCCATCTTCTCTTCTCTTAAATTCATTTGCTAACGCCTGTCCTTGGCCATCTTTCTCTCGCATAAACGGATATCTCCCCAATCCCATAATTAATTTATTATGTCGATGACTACTCGTGACACTCCCAAAATTTCCACTCGCAACCCTTCTATATACTTTCTCACCCGGCTTGACAAATTTTCCATCATCGCCGATTTGATCCGAAGCATCCACCTCAACGAGGAAGATGCATTGGCATGACACAGTGCTATCGAATGTTATCAGCAGCGGCATCCACACCAAGCTTCTGATGCCCGTATTCCAACTAATAATCTCATATGCCTCTACCGTATCTCCGGTATACCATATACCTTGTCCCGTGTCTTCGTCAATAAGCTGAACACTTTTTTCCCAAGCATTCCAACTCGGTGCTCTATTGTAAGCTGCCTTTACACGATTCAAACGTCCGCGTAATCTCATCCATCCCGCTTTCACAAAACCAAAGAGGTACTCTGTTTCAAGTGCCACGTCTGCGCCTATTACATTGGCTAGTGCAAATTGTTTAAGACCAGGGGTTTCTTCATATTTTGGACTGACGCCGGATGCAGTGATGGTATAATTATGTACTGGTGCTTCAACACTGGCCCAACTCCAACTTGGAGCTACGTACTCTGGGTCTCCAACTCGCTTTCTTGGTGGTGTGGTTCGTCCATCTATGTTAACCCAAGTCAGTTGATGCACAACGTTGAAATCATATAGGCCCGCGAGATATTTCTGTGGCATCATTGCCGCCAGTTCTTGAGCGATGGATGAAACGGCAATGAGTTTATCAATGCTTTGTGTCAATTTACAACGTGTGTATGCTGCTACGGTGGATTGCCAGGTTTTTTCAAAATCTCTTAGTAACCGCATTAGTTGCTCTTCAGAAGGCGGGTTCAATACAGCCGTTTCCCGCACAAAGTGTAACGTTCTTCGTAAACTCGAGCCTTCAACACCAGACCATTCGGGCTGTTCTCCACCAGAATGTTCATCACAAGCCCAATACACACTATTCTTCGCAAAAGCGAGAGTCCGTCGAGCAAGACTGCGCTCTTGGTATACCCATGCTCGTGTAAATAAGGGTGCATTCGACACAGTATTGCCAGGTATATCAGAGGAGAAGTTCCACAAAAGCCTTGCTACGCCACTAAGTAACAAGCAGTCGTCATTATCAGTGTTTCTTTGTCCAAGATCATGGCCAAGAATAGATGCAAAAGAAGTTCGAAATCCAAACTCGGCTCGTGGATCTCGATATTCATTGATAAAACCTTCATAGTCGGATGTAGTGGATAGAGCCGCAATGTTTAGCCATGCAAACTTGTACACATCTCTCATCATAGCGCTCTGCTCCTGCCAATCTTCAAGGCTGTCTTGGACAATGCATAAGCTATCAATCCAGATGTACTGAAATCCCAACGTCACACAGACAATTATTGCATGCCTGAAGGTGAGTGGAAGATCATCGAGTGGTACGTCAACTCGCCAAAGGGCAAGATTTGACTTAGTGAGCACTGCCCCGACACGACCACCAAGAGGAGCAGAAGGATTCGGCTCAGGACCCCAAGAATGAGAGAGAGAAGCGTAGTCTAACCCCTTCCATCCTGGAGGAAAGTCGGCAGGATGAGATCTGACTACCAAACGCGCACTTATATCCGAATATCCAGGCTCAGAGTCGTCTCGAGCAATTTTAAGTAGGCGATCTGGAAACCAATATGTTTCCGGTTCATATTGATCGTCGCCACCCTTTCTGAATATCCTGCGACACTGTGTATGTGAGTTTGCGCAAGTATTCATCCATAACCTTACCCCGGCCGTTGTTCCGGCGCTTAGTGTTGAACAGAAAGCAGCAGGCTCAGGTTGGATGATATTAGTATCTTGCCCTGTGGGATCCTGAAAATCCAGTGGTACAATAACAGGGTAATCACGGGACGTTTCCTCGGAGGCTGGTATATGTACAGAATTATTGTCCACACCGGGGTAGACCTTAAAGCCACCTGATCATGAGTTAGATCATCATTTAGCCACAATTTTTGATAAATTTCGTTGTAGATACATACCAATTCCCCATGAAAATCCGCCCTTATGTTTTGTGGTAATAAGTACACTAAGACATCTATTTGGAATATCAATGCTTCCCGCCCAAATTAAACTCCAGTCCTCATAGGGTGCATCTCGCAAGGAAGGTTCAAATGATACATGTGCTTGCATTGCATCGAAAAGAATTCTGATCTTTGCACATATAACGCAATTCTCATCTAATGGATCCTCCTCGGGATCATCCTTAGGATGTATCCATAGACTTCTGTGCTTTGGTCGAAAATCGCGTACTTGCATTGATGGAGAGTGCACAATCTGAAGTTTATCTTGCTTTGTTCCATCTCCATATAGTTTTATCATATGGGAGAGTAGGGTCAGACATCGTGCACATATTGATCGGGTTCCTTTCCCCGCCGGATGAGGCGGAGGAAAAGACAGAGTTGGATATAAATCCTTAGGAGATTCCAAAGGTGCCACTTCTTTGATTGACAGCTTTTCCAGCGTAGAATTCAGAAGCCGAGATAACATGTTCAAGAGGAATGCTCACATTACTGTGCTGGAATTGCAGAAGTATTTTCCTTATTAGCATTGCAACTTTTCAGCTCTGCTTGGCGCCCAGCTCCTTCGATCAGGCAGACCACGTACATTGCATGGTAACAAAGTGATGAATGGAGATGTGCTACACGGGCCATCATGAACTCTTTACATTTCATTGCAATTGTATTGTTCTTCTTGGAAAGTCCCCGGTCAGAGAGATGAAGGTTTCTACTAAGCTAGATTAGGTATAGCCCATTTCTCTAAGCAACTGCCGAGGTTGTCTACGCCAAAGTCTCTCATATATATCCCCCTCGCAGCTCTCATATATTTCCATAGTGGAAATTCACTCACATTCCACCAGACGATATATCGTCAAGGATTAATCATTAGATCTTCATTCATGTGTCAGAGTTGATTCTTCTCAGAGACGGCTTCAATCCCATCTCTTATTTCTCCAAGGTCAATTTCATTTCTCTCCAACCTTTGGGTTCGGTATTTAGTTCAATTCACATTCGGGACTCACATTCAAATATTCAAAATTAACTAGGTACAATATCTATCTATTAAGGGAAAAAACAAATTCTATCTCTCGCAGTCAAGGAGGTCCGATCTGATTGGTCCAGCCAATCTAATCCAACCCTCTTCTCAACATCTCGATTCTGGGCCAGAATGGTGATTCCTCTTCGTCCAAGTCTGGATCGTCAAAGAATTCCCGCACGTCAAACGTGTCGTCGTCGTCGTACTGAATTTGTCCTGCCATCAAACCTTCCATGACTGTCTCATGATCTTGATCATCTTCGTCTGAGAGTGCTGAAACTTCTGAGACATCGGACATGTTCCCATCATTTGAGTCACGTTCATCTTCTGAAACGTCGTCAACTGCAACAGTCTCGCTGTCCATTTCTGTCTTCTGCTCATCCTCACTTGAGTCTGAGTTTTCGAAGACAGAGATCGGTTCTTCGCAATCGATACATGGAGATTCAGCTATGATCTCATTGTTGAGTTTTCTGTAGTTTTTACAAAAGAAAGCGTTTCGGCGGACAGGGTAGCAATTGGCTTCACAGTGGAAAGCCTCGTAGCTAGTCTTCTGCTTGCTGTTGCAAGTGGGGCAAACCTCAATGGTGCAGATCCAGTTACACATGATGTGGTTGGTAAGTTGATCTGGTGTTTTCTTGGTTGTTTTGAGTTGTTGTTATAGGGTTTGGAGTGTTAATCAATGGAGTGATGATTTGATGATAATTTAGAAGTATAGAATCAGCCCGATTTATACTTCATGGGAGAGGGTTGTTCTGATCCCATTCTGTTTCTGTCCTTCACCTATCTATTTGCTTCGGATAAGAACGAAGATCTAACACAAGATACTCCCACACTTTCACGAAATCGATCTCTACAACACCCAATTCCCAGTTCAAACTATAAATAAGGCGATTGTTCTTAACAATGAAACAATACAAAGAAATCTTCTAAGCCTTTGAGCAAGATTCTAATGTCTAGGAACATTATCAAACGTTGTTTGTCTTCTTTGTAGTTCCAAAACTGTCTTTTATACTCTGCTTTCTTTGTTATGTTCCAGTACAAAAGCCTTGCAGCGAACAACCACATTGTTCGTTTCTTGTTCAAAAGTCATTGTGATTCACTCAAAATATACCGGAACCGCAAATACCATCGAAAGTCAGTCACCGCCATATCAAATATACATACCCAAGTTATCTTTTCGAATCTCATTATACTCACCAATCACAAAACAACTTAGCATAATAGCCACAAACAAAATCATGTGTACCATCACCCACACCCACCATGATTGTTCCCACATAACCAAATATACTCATAGCTGTTCTCTCCAATTGAGAAACAAATCCTACAAAAACACATCTCCATGCCCAAAAGCCCCCGGGAAATCAAGACTTTGGAGTTTAAACAAATGCGCAAGATGTACAAGAGCAGCGACGGCAAAGGGAAAGAAAGCTATCAAGATCAAGGAAAGCAAATGGAGCAAGATATATCTAGAACCTAAAGGGGGATGGAAGGTAGTTGATTGGTCGGGGGAAAGAAATACCGGTAGGTATGTAGAGGATACGGATTGTACTCCTAGTCCGACGACGAGGAGCTTTTGGTTGTCGAATACTTTAAGGTATTTAATTTAATTCAGATATCAAAGTAAATTCAGATATTCAAATCAATTCAGATATCCAACTGACTTCAGATATTCAAATCAATTCAGATATCCAACTGACTTCAGATATTCAAATCAATTCAGATATCCAACAGACTTCAGATACTTAACTGAATTCAAAAATTCAAATAAATTCAAACATTAAACCAAACTCAAACATTGAACCAAATTCAGACATCCAAAATCTCTGCAACACTCATCCGTAATGCTTCCTTCCAGTGTACACTTCATTCCCATCTCCAATATCGGTACTCACAAAACAAGTATGAAAGAATACTACTCAGTATCCCCCAAATCGATTCGAACATAGAACAAACATACTTCAGATGATCCGCCTACATGACCACCACTCGTCCCCTGATGAATCTAGATCGCTCATACATACAAAGCCAATGAATCCCAACATCCATTCCCCTCGACATCACATCATCATGCAAACCATGCTCTCTTTCCCAATTCCAGACCAGGCAGTCACTAAAACACCCCATGCAAATTCACTGTGCACACACCTACACCTATGTTATCTCACCCTTTCATGATTCAATGGTATCCTCTACCAGGAGGAGCCTTTCTTACTTACTTGCCTATCTGTTCATGAAGAATGAAAAAAAAAAAAAAAGCAAATAATCGATTCGCTATCAGGAGTCTAGTGAGTGAATAACTATAGGTATCCAATGATAAACATCAGAGCAAAGTTCTTTTTACACATCAAATCACGATAACTGTCTGCTACAAGGTGATTGGTAACCCATATTTAGGTGGACCGATCCACTCCTCCCCAATCCTCTTTCCCACCCACGTGCCAGCGAACCCATCCATCGATTCCCTCCATCCTCTTCCACCATCTCCAAACCCTCACCCAAAAAAACAGCAAAAAGTTAATGAACCCGCCCGGGGTCGAACCGGGGACCTAATCCGATATTAATTAATTCAAAGGTGTGAAAGTTGAATTAGAATGTAAAGGATGCGATATAACCACTAATCCACGGGTCCTATAGAATTTGTTGTGGAGGGCTCTTAAGAGTAGAATATACATTATTAACGGGTGAGTGTATGTCTGTGCGTTGAAGAAGGAACTTCAGACAAATCATTCTTACTACCTGATCAAAAACTTGAGAACAATGAAAAGTTCTGTAAATAATATGATGAATTGTTATTATAATAGCTAGGTATCATTTTATATACAAAGAAACAAAGCGATAATAGTATCCTAAAATAGATCCAATCCTTTAAGCTCCCGGTGTATTATAATTCAAAACTCCACCCATACTGTGCAATGAACGCAGTAAATGCAATAAATAGCAGATCAAAAAACATGCCGGTCGTATCATCTGGCAATGAAGGACCATCCGAGTATCGGATTCGAATCACAAAATTGAAACTCCTTATCAGATAGTCCTCAGAGTCCTAGGTAGTTCTTCGAGTCTGGTGTGCCGCTTAGTTTGACCATCGCGATCCCTACTAGATATCATCCCAAACTCAATTCAGCCATCTAGATCGTCTTCAAGATATAACAGAAATCTTATCCTTCCTTCAAATTATCTTTCTCCTTATGATTTTCCAGCTATTGATTTACATAGCTATCAATATCTACTCTATGAAAGAAAGAGATATGTCCGAAGGGTACCCAGTGCTGTGCCAACACGTCTGGAGATATCATTATCAGTTCCGTTTCGATGTATTTTGCTATCAACAGTCAGTAAGAATCCCTCTACAATTGCTGGAGAAAGGAAAACAATACGATTTTTATATCCTTGATTGGCAATTTGACCGCGACTCCTCACAATTCTTGCACCAGGCCAATCCTTCTCCCCATAACGAACTAATCCCTTGTCACTAATATCATCAGCGACCCATGTAATTTCCCCTCGAGGTATATTTGGATCTCCAGTCAATTTAATAGCGCATAGAGAACCTGTGGGAGTTCGTGCTTGCCCTTTTCTTGCTTCCCACGCTTCGTGCGATTCGCCTCTTGATTTCGATATGTTTGGTTCGTCCTGTTTCTGAAGTCCATCTCGTTGATCTAATAGTAGATATTCGCATCCATGACCTGAGTAGTCTCCGACCTAGAATTGTGATTTGAATCAGCAGGTGAATTTGAGATCCTGATTTGGTGATGATCTGTTGAACCCGGTTTGTCTAATAATAGGTTGATGCGGCGTCTCAGTTTTGTGAAGTTATGAATCTCTGAGAGTGATTTTGATTATTTCAAACGAATTTGGTTCTGATTGGATTCAGTGTTCTAGAAGAATCGAACATGCGGAAAAAGATCAGAAACCTTTGAGATATTCTTTGCCTAGGTATCCGGACTGTTGGAAACCCTGATCGTTTCCTCGTTCATTGTACATGTTGTAAGTCATATCGTGTATATATCATGAGCCTGGGAAAGGTCATGAATGTACAGAAGAGATATGCAATTGAGAGGCTTTGGTAAAACAGGCAAAATTGCCGTTGAACTTCTCGATGAAAGCTCAGATCTAAGTGAATTTGAGGAAGCGTGTATAAAATGAGAGCAAACTTACAAAAATACCTCTATAAGGCTTATCCTCTGTAGGTGTATACAATTCAAAATCAAGAGTCGAATATGTTTGGATTTGATCTCCTATTTGTACCAGACCATTCATTTCCATCCAGCCTCTAATACGAAACGATTTTTCATTGATCTGAGATCGATTCTCGGGTCGACCCCAAGTAGCTGTACATGAATTATCGAAAATGGTAGGACGACCTGCTCGAACTTTTGCTGGAATCTTTGGTGGTGGCCATTTATTTGCTTGTGGCCTGTTGGGCTGATTACCTACTAACAATTTTGATAGCAAGAACCTCGAAGGACATTCCCGAGTAGAATTTCCGCGATTCGCCATTATTAGCGGTACCTCACCCTTGAGCCTTCGTTCGGCATGACCCATATCTGTTAAGGATCGGTGCGAATAAGAATGGAGGTCCAGTTGCTGAGGAGAAGTAGCTAAATGCGTTCTGGGATCAAATCCATGAATCACGACTGACATATCATCCTTCCATGTAAAAAATTGAGGTGATGGCCTTTGAGTTAGAAGTCTGTATAATCCGATAGAACCAGTCTCAGGGTTGTATTTAGAAATCATGAGCTGCCCGTAGTAATCAGAATCGCCAAACCATAGTTTGTTCTTGGTAAGGAACCAGTGAGGATCATGAGATTGGTAAAGCTCTTTGAAAGACTCGCATGGGAAAGGAGAATTAAGCTTGACACCGGGCACATTTTCTTGTACCAGGCGCCGCCAAAGTGAATCAGTTTCTGTGATTTCATACAATATTTTGCACGATTTGCCTAACTTTATCAGATCGCATGGCGAAAGATAGGAAGAAACTTGGCGAAGTATCTCAACCGGAAGGTGGGTTAGCTTGAGCTGGGTATCATTGGGAGATCCGATACCTAAGGATAGAAATGATTGCTATCAGCCATGGTTCTTTCAACTGGATACAGTAATTGGGACTTATGCTTAACTGAAAGACCTTGTCATTTCCATCAAGCGAACAAACACAGCTCGAAAGCCAAGAACACCAAGCAAATACAATGCAACGAAGAAAGATACATACCCGGAAATGCCGCATTTTTGGATTGAGATGATTCAGAGGATGGTGCTTCCTGGGAAGAGAAGAAATTGCTCATATCAGGACTTTCCACTGCCTCGACTAACTGAAGAGTCGATTCGATGCCGGGATCCAACCGACCATGCAAGTATTTTTCGTTCTCCATTTGATACTCTCTGTCAAAGGAAGGAAAACTCGTCTGTTCTGCTCTATCGAGAAGGCCCTCTAACTTGGAAGGTGGAGCAGATTTTAAAAAGGACGAAGGGGGAATGTTTGTGTCCTTATGACCAAACCGAGATAGATTGGGTACAATGTTGTAGATTGTTCAATCAGATATGGTTGGGTACGATGGGATTGATATCTTCTTTTGAAAATGTCTTTCTTAACGTCTTATTCGATGATGATGAGATCTTAATTGATCATTTGATGAAGCTCGCAAGCTTTTCCTCTGTTTAGTTTCACTGTGATATCTCTTGGACGGTAAGACTGAATGATCAATTAGAATGATCGAAATTCTTGGAATTGGACTGCCGTTACTCACTATACGGTGAAAATGGTGTACGGTGTATGTATGGATGGTTGGTGAGCTTCCTATTTCAGATGTGAATCGGAAATATTCGTCGGTTGTTGTTTCAATGCACTAGATGAGAAAGCTTGATTATTGCGATCTACACAATTAGCGCAGTTTACAGCAGGACAACAAGGTAATTTAGCTTCGGCCGATGGGATGTATTTATGAAGTTTAAAGAAGAAAGAAATATACAGTATTGTTGTTCCTTGAAGTAGCTAACAGGTCAAAAAATCGAAGAGAATTATTGAAACGATTACTTGTACATGTGTTTAGGTATTCTTGGCGAATGACTGCAAGTCAAAACGATCACAATATGATTTTAAGCTCACCGGTGGCGGCTTAAAAGGTTACTATCTTTACCTCCCTCTAGCGAGACAGAGATGATAAGTGATGAAGGGGTAAAAATGAGGAAGTTGAATATCTACAGAGGAACGTTGGATCTAACAAATAATTTGGAGACGAGAATGATAATAAGCTACATATTGTTTAATGCTTCAAGGGTAAAGAATTCTCCGAAAAAAGGGAAGTATCACATCGGTTCGGTATCGCGGTGACATCCCGTGATAAATGATGACAAGACTTCTAGGTTGCAACTTTCTCTAACCTATCATTTGTTCACACCATGGACGGCTTGAATGAATTTGCTTGGAATTGAACTAAGATATCAATTATAGATCAATTACCAAGCCATTTCATCACTCACCAGTCACCCACAATCACAATCGCCATGATGATTGGTAATCGAAGCTACAACCGCACGTTTTCTTGTCAACATCGGTCAATCGTCCCCTTCCTGTATGTCAGGTCAGCAAAATACGCAATCTCATGCCAATCATGTATTAGTATTCACAAAACCATCGAATCTCATGTCGGTCATGTCGGTCATGTCAATCATCACTCAATTTCATCTCCTCCACCAATAATTGCGTCTACCAAGTCAGAGTTTTCCATCTAGTGCCCAACCTTTTCCAACCTTCTACAATTAAATCAAGTAACTCCGATGTCGCCTCCCTTCCTCATTCTTTCCACTCATCCACGAACTATTCCCCATCCTTCAATCTATCCTGGTCAACCCAGCATGCGATGTCTTCACCGTGCCACCCTTACTAGTCGACCCAAGCGCTTCCGGAAGGTGCGTGGAGAAAGTCGTGATATCGTTCCTCGTGGCATGGCTAGGATCTATATGTACATTGGAGATACTGGGTAGGTGGATATCTTTTGATAGTACCAACAATTGTACTATGAATTAAATAGGAAGGCAAGAGTTTGTTGAGATACAAGGTGTACGAATGCAACAGAACACTCGTAGGTCTAGATGAAACTTGAGCATCGATCGTTAGTTGTCAATTGTGTGCGGAGTATGATAGAACAAACTCCCACTCTCGGACTCAAAGCTACTTTTTTCCTAGAGAGATTCGTCATTCATGATCTGAATAGAATACACATTTTGGTAGCCCGGCATTGAACATTACCGGTGGGTTCGGAGAGATATGAGATGAAGTTATATCGTACATAGGTACATCTGAGATATCTGCACTTAATCTACACTTAATCTACCAAGATTGATTCTAAAATATGCATAATAGAAGATTAATACGCGAATACCATTCTTGAAAATGAACTATTAATCCATATAAAATAAGCTTAGATCTCTACGTATACACGCGTCAATTAACTGCCGATAAAGTCCCTTGGTATCCAGATAAACATGGGGAATCCCCAGCCCACTCCAGTCCAGTGACATCCAAACTTGGCAACAGCAAACGAACGCAACGTTGGTTACGAAATTGTCCATTCGATCCCCAACCGTATGGATACTACCACCTACCTAATATTATCATCGAATATGCGATAACAAATATAATATATTGATCACTTTATGAGATATACATGAATACATATACTATACATCTGTTTCAAGTGAGTTCTCCACACCTCACGACCCATCACACCACGCGCGCCATATCCTCCTCAAAACAAACCCAATCGGAATCGCTAACCCAACAAATACCCGTGCTGTATGCAACGCTGCCGCGATAAAACCAGTTTATCATCTTGTGGCATTGGCATGTATCGTACATCTAGTTTAAGTTTGGGAATTGCATACTTTCTGGCCACACGAGTGTAATGATCACATCATATAACATACATAATAACTACATATATCCACTTCCCAACTCCACCTCACCACGCCATATCGTCCTCCATCCCAAACTCAAATCCATCCAGCTCTCTCCCGGCGCCATCTAAACGAGCAGCCCGATCGATCACGAAAGGTGCAACAAAACCTGATATGTTCGTATCAATCGAGATAACATGACTGAGCACGATATGGCAGTGGAGAAGCCAACACTGTCTCTCCTCAAGCCAAGCAATCTCACAGACTATTGGAAGATGAGTACTGCGCAAGGATCAATTGGATGCCGTAGGATTACTAGTGCGCAATCATACAAACCTCCTCGTTCCTCGTTCCTCATTCCTCCCTCACTCCTGCTATCCTATATATACAGTTCTTCCATCATCTACACCCTGAAGATGACAATCAATAATCTATCTGCTCTACCTGTGATAAGTCTCTCTATATCAACTACTAAGCGCCATTTACTATATTCGAGATATTGCTTTAATTACCAACCTACCATTACAGCTCATCGTGAGTTATAAATATCAAACAGGTAGTTGTGATTGTAAAGATGATGAAGAGGTTACATGGATTATTGCTCGGAGCGGTAGTATTGTACACTGGGCATTGATTATTAAAAGAGTGGAGTTGAGATGCTCATATTGATGCGAAGGACGAATAATGGGGGAAAGTGTGAGAGAAGATTCCATGTGAACAATCTTGCTTTGATTTTGTAAATCTTGATATCTCATGCATTTACGCGCTTTTCTGCCCGAAAAACGGGATTCCCTTTGTGACCATTCTGTTCAAACATGCCCAAGAAATAACCTCAGAAAAAAGAAAACTCCATCGCTCCATTTTAATCAGTAAAGTTCCTCCGAACCACCGACGCATGCATGCCAACCCACAAGTAAATGCAACTTATCACCATTAATCCACGTATCTAGGACCATCATCCTGCCAATTACCTGCTGGAGTATCCGCAGCATAGGCACCCGGTGTAGGGGCACCTGCATAATATCCTGGTCCAGGTGTAGGAGCATCCATAGCTTGAGGTGTAGGAGCACCCCAATAACCTGGAGCTGGTGTTGGCGCCGAATAAGCCCCGGGAGTTGGAGCGTTCATTGCAGCTGGTGTGGGAGCAGAATATCCACCTGGGGTTGGTGCATTCATAGCAGCTGGTGTAGGTGCCGATAAAGGACCACCAGGGGTTGGAGCATCGTAGGCTGTTCCCCAATTATTGTTATTGGATTGGCCGGAGTTCCAGTTGTCGTTTGAATTATTTGGTTGATAGGCTGGAGTCTTCGAACCCCATGCATCACCAGCATTCCCACTGCCGCCATACGCGGGAGTTTTGGATCCATAGTTATCTGATAAGCCATAAGCTGGGGTTTTGGCACCGGATGACCAAGCAGGAGTTCTATTGCCACCTCCATAGGCTGTCCGACTACCATCATTTGCGGCATAAACAGTTCGAGATCCATCGTTCGACCAACCAGGTGTTCGACCACCATCAGTGGGACCAGACTTCCAGGCAGGCGTTCTTCCACCTTGGGCACCACCATGAGGAGCTAAAAATGTTAGTAAATATTGGAGAATAAGATAGAATCAACTTACTTCTTCCCCAAGCTGGAGTGCGTTCAGGAAGACCACCTGGCATTGGTGTTCGTCCACCAGCACCAGAGTCCCAACCTGGTCCAGGAGTTGCACCTCCGAATCCACCACGACCTCTTGGAGCTCCTCCTCCTCTACCACCACCAGGACCACCTCTGAAACCATTTGGATCTACCGATGCTCCACTTATCTTGTCCTTGAATCCAAGGCAGTCTTTTGGCACACTGATTACCTTGCTCTTTGTATGTAATTCTACTCTTGCATGGGTGTCTGTGGTATCTTTAACAATACCGAGTAATCCCTTGTATGGGCCTTTGCGGATTGTAACAGTCTGACCAATAGATTTATCACGACCAAATGATTTAGGTGGAAGCATTTGGCCGTTGCTCTTGGGATTGAGCTTCATTGCCGGGTTCATGGAGCTAAGATCCGGCGAAGCCGCATTTTCAGTGATGCGTCCTCCCTTGGCAGAGACACTTTGGACGCTGGTAGTTCGCGCCACAAATATACCAGCATTCTCGCTCAGTTCGGAACTCTTCAAGAAGAGATAGGCTCGATGAATATGTAGAATTCTGCCAGACCTAGCCTCTCCCCCAAATTCTTTCACGGTATCCTCCATCTTGATCTCAGCACCATTACGATCTGTCGCCACCGCGTTCCTACGCTTTTCGAGCTTATTGGATATCTGAGATGGAATGACGGTCCTGTTAGATCCATTCTGGTCAAGAACAACAAGCGATTCGCGATCAACTTTGATGATACAAGCAACAGTAGACGGGTCTAGTTGAACTAAATCCCAAAGCTCGTACTTTCCTAACGCACCACTCCCACCAGAATCGCTTGCTTCCCGAAGATCTTTGCTGAAAACAGTGATTTCATTATTGTTTTGATCACTCAACAAAGTGACACGATCCTCAATAATCTTGACGACCATACCAACTTCATCTCTAAATCTACTGCCGCCAATCACTTTGACGTGATCACCCTCACGGAAGCGCTTACGTAGACCCTTGATAGGAATTTCGATAGTTTGACCTCTTAATGCTCCTTCGGACACAGCCATTGTGACAATATCACCAGTGACAGAAACTGCTTTACCAACGACACCCTTTTGTTCCCCTTCGTAAACCTCAATGACGTCGCCCGGTAAATAAGAGGCATTGGCTGTGCTTGCTTTCAAGCTTGCAGCGAGAGCATTTAAATCCAAGTTTTCGGTTCCATCTTCGGCACCAGAAGCAAATCTTGTGACTTCTTCGAGGGTTGGATTAACATCCTTAGTGATCAGCGCCTGGATTTTAACCTCCTTCTCGCAATATCCATTGATATATTCTTCATTGAAGTAATTCCATGTTTTCGTGTCCGGTCGACCTTGCAGATGTTTTGCATGTCGTTTTTTAGCTTCAGCTTCACTGAAGAGTCTTTGGGGTGGACGTGGTCCGGCTACTGGGCGCTTTCTTTTTCCATCCGCTCCTACACTAGTATCCTCATGAAGACCATAGTCGAGACGAGGTACATATCTGACACGGAGTTCGAGACCAGTATCAGTGACTTCCAACACTTGCGCAAGATCACCCGCATATTTCACTGGACGCCTAAGTCGTACATATGCTCCAACCTCTACAGTTGGACTCTTCGTAACTCTGAGAAGGTCTGGCATTTCCTTGATCTCAACCAGCATCATCTTAGTTCGAGGGTAGACATTCATAAGGCCATCCATAGCAGTCAAAATGTCGGCTTGTCGCTGGGCTTCAACATAAATAAAACCCTTCATTGTAGACTGCGTTCCACCACGTTCAAAAGCGCAAGTGATCGCAAGTTCCTCTTTAGTACCAGCTCTCTCTTCTATGCGCTTCATAATAGAGAAGACGGCCTCTCTTTCTTTTCCTTCTTTACATCGTACAGCCCAAATACTAGGATCGTCAACACTAGGAAGTAAAAGACGCTTTGGAACGACCGCTGAGTCTCCAGTGCCTCTTGATGATCGACCCTTGTTCGCATATCGTTGTCGTAGAATTTCCGCTTGCTTTTCCGCATCAAGACTTGCCTCCATTTCGCGTCTTCTATCTAAATCTCGGTGACGCCTGTCATCTGTCTCACCACCATCTGGAAGGTCTGCCATATCATCCGGGTGTGTGTCTGCAATGAAAGTGTGATTCATTTCGTTCAATTCATCTTCGTCATCCTCATTCTCATCCTCATCTTCATCTACTTCAGCTTCGACATCGAGGAAAACATTGCGACGGTCTCTGCGGCGCTTGCGGCGATGTCCCTACGCTTTGCGGTTAGAAAAAATGTCGGTCACTGCATTGTGGGCGAACAGGAATTGTATATGCAGCTCAGAAGTGCTTACCGTAATTTCCTCTTCATCATCCTCTTCTTCTTCTTCTTCCTCATCGTCATCATCATTAGCACCTCCACCAATGTCTTCTCCCTCGCCTTCATCATCTTCGTCTTCATCGTCGTCTTGAGCACCACCCGACCCGTGTTTTCTATTACTCGAGGGGGCTGCTTCATCATCGGAGCCATCGTCATCGCCTACTTGATGACGCGAAGCTTCATTTTGTCTTTGCGCGCTGGTTGTGTTGTTTCCTTCATCTTCGTTGTCTGAAAGATCCGCAGGTTGGGGATTGAAATTGTCGTCCTCTTCGTCGCTTTCATCAAAGGAATTATTCAATAAATTTGAGGTAGACATTTTAATACAAAGGTTGAAAGAAGAAAATGTGCATTCGAAGAGGGAAATGAGAGGTATTTGTAGATTTTTTTCAAGAAGACAAATCTCAAGGTCAATGGATAAAGTATATAAGGCAAGGCAAGCTAACCTTTGTTCAAAATGGCCTCAGCCTTCCGACCCGTAGTGGGACTAACTTATCTAGGGATAACCCCGAATTACCTAAGCCAATGAGTCTTGAGCCAGCGTACTGCTCAAAGACTTAATAGATTGTACAGTTCTTTTTCAAGATCTTATTCAATACAATTCATTGTTGGAGAATTATGTAGGACTGAATTATTCGAGGAAAACTTGAATATAAAATGAAAGAGATTCAACTATCTTTTGAGGCCTTTTGGAGGGAAGAGTAAAAGTTGGAAGATGCGAGTGGTTATTGATATTCTAATTAGCATTGTTGGCTGATCAATTGAAGAATTTCTTATGCCCATCCTTATATCTATATTAATTAGGAACTTACTACTAGGTATCCAAAAGCGACTGAAGGGAACTCGTAAATCCTCTCCTGTGGATGATTGTTGAATTTTAGGTTGTGTGTGCAAGTTGAGTTGAAGGATGTAAATATAAATTTTTGATGCTGATCCCACTGACACCCGACTTCCTCTGATCCTGAATTGAACTATATAGAAAGACTCGATATTTGAGGTCAAACCAATAAAAGGCTCTCCTTACACACAGGAACCTCGGTCCTTTGTTGCATCTCTAAGGATGTACCATCGGTTTGTCCATATACTTTCAACCATTCTTCGCTGGCATTTGAATCCTCTATCAAATACAAGACTGGCATCCTGTTATAAGAAAAAATCGAAGATTTTTGCTCTCAGTCTTGAATATAATCACTGGGGACTGCACGGCACTGCGAGCTCATGGATTCAGCGTATTCCCACGCTCACACTTTTCATGGGCTTGTGGTAGACATTAGAACCTCGAATTTCTCGCAGGACTACCATTCATATACATGGACTCGGGTTGCCTGGTACCGTGTTCTAATGCCGAGAGGTAGTCGATACTTGCCGAGTGAGCATATTCATGGCAAGGAGGTTGATTTGAATTCTTGATCACAGTGGAGCTGGTCAGGCTAGTCATAATTGATGATGTTGTAGAAGATACAGGGCTGTAGTTACAATCATCTCGGACAATTGCGTGCGTATATTGCAATATCAGGCGAACATTGGTTGTTGAAATTTCAATTCGGCCATACGAGTTACTCGTAATTGTAAATTTAAGTGACCAGTCACCTCACTCCTATCATACATGAGCTCCGATGAGTATAAAATCATGAATACTCGAATATTGTAGATGCAATCTCCAGGAAACCGAACTCCAGGCTTTAACATGCGATAATGCTACGCTCCTTTCTAATAGCCGACCTGAAAGCTCATCATAATTCATCACAGTTTCACACCCCAGATACCCCTTCCTCCACTTACTCCGAGCCAATCGCCGTTCTCATTATTGTTCAAGTTGCTTCGAGGCGCCCAGCTAATATTTCCCACTTCGTAATCACATTGCCAACTGGCAGTGGGCCCTCGAGAATTATCAGATACTGGTGCGCCATTCATGCTAGGAGCAACAGGAGGGGCAGTGTTTGGACTCAGTAGGTCCCAAATAAGAACCAAAGAATCATCAGCTCCAGAGGCAAGAGTACCTCTCCTGTTTGGAGACCATTCTATGCAGTTTATGGATGAGGAATGCCCCTGAAGTTCAAGGAGTGCTTGTCCAGGCTGTCTAACATCCAAAATACGAATAATGTTGGAATCTTGTGAGAATGTAGCGAGGAGATGGGTATCATGTGGCGATGCTGCTAGTCGTAGTAAAGGGGGTGCATAGGACATAGTTTGCTGGGCTAAAGTTGGACTTATTCTGCCACCTCCAGGACTCGTATCTATGAGTGCAATTAGTAAAATGCCTAACGCTGGCTTCGTAAATCATACCTTTATCATCCTTTGTAGTTGGCTCATAGATGATGGTACTGTGCTCTAAACTTCGAAGGTCGAACATTCTCACACTTCCATCAGCTCCACAGCTAACAAAAACATCCACGCTGTTTGCGCAAAATCTGACATCGAAGACTTCTTTGTCATGTGCAATCAGTTGTGTCTTGGCAGTCAATGTGGGAATATCCCATATGGTGCATGTCGTATCTATGCTTGAAGTAATGATTAAACTAGGCGAGACAGTGTTCCAATCCAAGGAGGTCAGAGGGGCAGTATGTTCTGGTGTTTTTGAATTAGACAGCAAGGCTAGTGGCGTGAGTTTGCTAGGAGGTAGGTCTCGACCGGAGTTAGAAGTACGTCCTCCGATAGTGTTGTTTGCCGATGCGACTGGAGTTTCAGATGGGAGCGACCACAACCTCAAATGGTCACCCGAAGTAGCTAGTAGATCTGTAGATTGCTTTTGCGATGATGGTGGTTCCCACAAGAGCCGAGTTACAGGATATGAATGTGTGGCTTCGGCAACCTTTGTAAATTCAAGTCCATATTTTGGGGCGCCAGGTACATAGGATTCAGACTGGGTGGGAACGATATGGGAATCAAGGATTTGAATCTAATAGTTGATATCAGCACTGATTCATCTACTTAAGGCTCAAAGTGAAATCAATAAACTTACAAAGTTATGCCCGTCTTCTAGGTAACTTCCTATTGCGATCTTCCCAGCATCGTTGTTTTGCGCTGGCCATTTGCACCAGTCGAATGCATATAGAGCCCACGGCGCGAGGTAGTTGCTGTTGGTAGGTGTTGCGCTGGTACCATCATATGAATATGGATTGGCCCCAGGTAAGCCTTCGGCAAGCGTTGAATCGGTACGCGGTCGAATGTCTGCAAGACCAAGAGGAGTATTGGACACAGTTCTTTGAGAGCCTTGTGGTGTATATTTTTGTGAATTTTGCTCGGATCCGCCCGGTGTGGTTGCTTGAAATGTTGCAAAACCTTGACTATCAAATCCTGCCGCTGGGCTAGATCGAGTGTAATTGTGCGAAAGGGCTGCGGATCGTGAGGGGGTTGAATATTGATCTTGCGATATTGTGGGTATTGAAGGGGCTGTATTTGTCGAGGTCACACCTGGTCTTCCTGGTTGTAGAGTACCTGGAAGTGATGCTGCATTTGAATATTGAGATGAGTCTGGAGTGGCTTGGTCTAAAGTCATACGTGGACCACTTGCACCGTAATCTCTTGGAGATAAAGCACCTCGTTGCGCAGGCATATTTGAATGCAGCTCGTCGGCGTGTCGAGCTCGCCTTGGTGTTTCGTATTGTTGAGACTGTTGATTCATTGATGTGTGGTTGTTGGAAGTGGTCGGCAGGGAAGAATTTGGATGGGGTAAACCATACGTTGTTGGTGGTGGTGCAGATTGTCCTGTGGCAGAGCTAGACAATGAAGGCATACCAAAACTACCTAGATTTGCTGCGGCTTGTAATATACCTCCCGAAGTCGAATTTCTCGGTAAAGCATTTTGTTGCGATGAAGACGAACGAGAGTTTGAGTGAATATTAAAAGAATCGAAAGGCATGGCGCAGGCGCAGGGGATAAATTACCTATTCAATGTCAAATGTCAGACAATTGAGTGGCTGCTTCCTCCCTTCCCCTACCTACATGCAACAACCAAAGTGGCAGCAGTAGTAATAACAACAATAATGACAATAATAAGACTGACTGCCCAATGTGATGGAGCTTCGGGATGAGAAAGTGGGAGAATTAAGGTTGGAAGTTATATCATTGGTATGAAAGTATGGAGGGACCCAGGTGAGCATGTACAGGTATGGACTTTGTAAGGTTATGGTGGCATGGCTGATGGGGCCTTTGATTTGATTAGGCCATTAGCAGACAAAGTTTATGGCATTGGTGGACACAACAGAGCCTAACATCGCATCTGATAAGGCTGGCGAGAAATTACCCCTCGAAGCCTGTGTTGAGTGACGGAGTGATTGAGTAATACTTGATGCATTCACAAACTAAATACCTCCTACACAAACAACTCTCTTCCTATTGCATTGTTCTCTTATACAAGCAGTCTTGCTCGCATTCATTCATACTTTCATTCGATTCTGACATCGGATCTCCATCGATTTAATAAGTCCCAGTGTGTCGGCGAGATACCTAGTTGGCGATCATGTCACAATCCCTACTTTTGCTCCCTCAACACCCCGCACCAGCTACACCAGCAACTCTCAGTGCGGCATACTCTTCATCATTGTCGGCGGTACTTTCGAGTCTGAAAACTTCATCGTCAAGTACCAAGCTTATAATTGCACTTGCCTCGTCAAGTTTCAAAGATCGGTTGAAGGAACCAAGATCTCAAATATACAATGAGGTGGAGAGGCTTCTGGGCGGTCTATACAGCTTGATCTGTTCTATATGTGCCAAGGAAGACATTGACATTACATCCAAGCTGCCGGGCGCTGTGGATTTTCGCATCGTTTTATTGGATTATGATTCTACACGCTTTTCCACTAACAAGAATTCTGGGCGTGATGCCAGTCTTGGGATTTTGGCTGGCGGTCCGATCGTTGGACTTCCTCTCTTCGCAAGCACTCGACGCCAATGGAGCAAGATATTTTCAGTGCAAGGCGAGGAAGGACAGAATTTGCTTCGAGACTTTTTACATTTCGCAAATGGCATAAGTCCTCCTTTAGGTGCAGAATTTCAAATGGTCAGTGGTGGAGTGAGCATGATTCAAAATACTTCACAGCCTGTACAACCAAATTCTTCCGCCTCCCATACTGTAGTAGCAGTTGGTGGCACGTTTGATCATCTTCATGCGGGCCACAAACTTTTGCTTACAGCTACGGCACTTTTATTACAACCAACCGCCGACGCTCAGGACCCTTCCCGGAGATTGATTATCGGTATCACAGGGGACGAATTGCTGAAGAATAAAAAATATGCCGATCACTTGCAGAGTTGGGAGGAACGACAAAATGACGTCGTTGAATTCCTCATATCGATTCTTTCTTTCACGCATACTAG